GTCGGATCTGGAATTCGACCATTCACTACATGTGAGGCAAAAACTTTATCTTTCCCCTTTTTTCCGGCCGTCAGACTGGAGGTAGGTTGCGTTTTGTTGTGTCCTCTATTTATGTTGTGTTAGGTTTAAGCGTGAAGTTGCTGTATAATGAACAACAAATCCGGAATCTGAGTCTTCTGATTTATCTACAACCACAGTAGCAACATCTTTCAAAAATTGCGACAGAATGAAATTGAGGGCAAGAAAAAAAAATAAACGAAGGTCAGTCAGTTCCATGGCAAGTTTGCGCATTCACTCAGAAGTAGAGTAGACTTCAGAGAAAGAATTAAGATGGTACATTTCGTTCAATCATCCAGAAGTACGGGAGACTCATCTCTAAGCATGGTTATGGGCGACTACTGAAATTCCAAGAGCTGCAGCAACTAGGCTACGTGAAACTATGGGAATCAGGAGTAAAGAAGACATACTTGAGAAATGTTACAGGCGACCACTGCAGTGCCAAGAGCTTCTGAAAGCAAAAACAATATAGTATTAAAATAATGCGTTATGCGCACCTATTGAAAGTAAAGGAGACTCATCTCAGAGAAAAGTTAAGGGCACTCACTCAAAAATGAAGGAGACTCATTTCTGAGAAAAGTTACGGCACTCACTCAAAAGTTACGGGAACCCACTCAGAAGTGAGGGAGATTCATTTTTGAGCAAAGTTACGGAAACCCACTCAGTAGTGGAGGAGACTCATCTCTGGAAAAAAATGAGGGCACTCACTCAGAAGTAAATGAAACTCATCTCTGAGAAATGTTACAGGCACTCACTCAGACACTCAGAAGTGAAGGAGACTCATTGGTAAAGTTACGGGCACTCTGATGGCGTTTTGATAAAATTTCAATTGTGAAGCGCGGACTCTGCCCACATATGGTCTTCGGATAGGTTACTTTCCTCTTTACTTTCTTCGGCCGGTACTTTAACACCTGACGGGAATACAAATACAGACTGATGTTTAGCTTCAAAACATAAAATTGTTAATATAAACTTACTTGAAGTTGTGCCCTCAAGGGCCGTCAAGCAGTAACTTGAAATTTAAATCACAATAACTTGACTGAATTATGCATAGTTATGCATATCATTGCCCATAGTTTTCTTCTGAGAGGGAAACCTATTATTACAGAATTGAATAAAGATGACTTGAATGTAGAATTGAAGTTGGCCAACTGGATCCACATAAACACCATCAAAAATTTTAAAAAGGTGCGAGATGACGAAAAAAAAATTGTCTTGTTTGATTGACCTCATGGGAATGACAAAGCAATAAATACGTTTTATTCATTCTGTCAGCCGTTGGTACGGACAGGTGGGAATGTATTTTCATTATTGTGGTTTTGTGGAACTAATGTAGGCTATTTTATGCTTAGTTTTTTTTTTTTTTTTTTTGCTTTTTTCTTTCTCAATCTTATACGATCTCGTGCCATTAGCATTGAACTTTTCAAAATATTGTGGCCGCGAGGTGGAGCTATGGATTTATATACTAATTACCTGCTGCTATGCTCATATAAAAATAAATAGATTTTCTCTTCAACTATTAGACCACTCCATTTCATATTTCCAAAGGTGCGTGGCGGTCAGTTAATATTATTTTTATCTTCCCTGGGTCGCTAACTAATAACTTATGTTTTGTTTGAATGTAAAGTGCGCTTCTACGTGGATTTCCCGATGATATATTTTGTCGAAGTCGGACTCAACAAGCGGTTCACGGTCCTGTTAACACCTTCTAATCTCTCTGAACAAGGTGTAAGACAAGCAGCGACATTGCTGATATTGAAAGAACCAATATGATTTCTGCCAGACCTGGCCAACCGGATTCTTCTCGTATTGGCACTATGTGAATTTTATCCCGTAATTATATTCTACAATGGGCCCTTTCCCCCTATTATATGCGAACCAAGATGGCGGACACCGGAACGTAGTATGTGTACCAAGTTTGGGTTGGGCCATAATTTGATTCCAATTTTTCTTATTTTAGATCTACTACAAGTTTAGGGACTAGCCAATTGACTCCCGTAGGATCTGTATCTAAAATGATAGCTTAACCTGGTACACATACTACGTTCCGATATCCGCCATCTTGCTTCACATAACTACAGGACTTCCCCACAATGCGCCATGCTCTGGATTACTCCTAGAAAATTTTGTCGTATTTGGACAATTTGAATAGAACTGTTTTTAAATTCCAATTCTCCGATTAAGCTAATTTCTTAGTTTTCTGAGAAATACATTTAACTCATCATATTCAAAATAAATCGATAACGTTTTGCAATACAATTTTATTCACACAAAGTAGCAAATAATATTTTCGCACTGAAAGTTCAAATTATTTTTCATGAATTTCATTTATTAAGTTCAGTTCGTGTAAAATAATTTGAACTTTTATTGACAAAATATTTTGCCGAAAAATGATATAAACCAGAAACACATCTAGGAAATAAAATACCAGAGCAAAGTTAATGAAAAAATTAGGCGCTCCAGAAGTACGGACACCAGAAACATAGTATGTGTACCAGGGTTAGGGTACACATACTACGTTCCGGTGTCCGCCAACTCGGTGCACATACTTCTGGAGTACCAAAAATTGTATCTCACACTATTTCACACAAAAAAAATGAAAAAAAAATTTCTTGCCATGATTTGTGTGCCCGAGAGGGGTAAGGGTCATACGAAATATAAAACTCGCTTATTTAAAAGGGAAGACAATGCTCTAATTGATTTTGATACCTTCTTGAATTTCTTATACTTCCTTCGGGCCACAGCGAAACTTTAATTTGAGAAAAATCGAAAAATATGTCAAATTTAAATATAAAAGACAAGGAAAAACTCTAGACTCAAGAGTTGGGTAAATCAACCTGATATTTGTGTAAGATTTCACAGAAAAATCTTCTAAGTAATGTGGTTTTTCCATCTGGAAGAAATATATGGAACTAGGAGTTTATATAAAAAGATATGAGTCTTAAATATCAATAATATGTGCTCTTGAACTTATGTCAAAACTATGTGCAAAATCATGTTTGGAAAATTCGCCGTAGGAAATTTCGCCGCATAGGAAAAATCACAAAAGCATTTTGCTGTAAAACAAGTATTTATGATTAAAACAGTTAGGTTTATAGGGTTAGAGTATGCTCTTAAATAACGAATATTTTTTTAAATAAGTGGATTTTTCCTACGACGAATTTTCCTTAAACCGTGCAAAATATTTTTATCAAGATCAATTAACAACAATTACACAGCTTTTATTTAAAGTGCTTTTAATCGTGCGACAACCTTCTGAAAAGGTATTCGTCCATAAAAAGTTAAAATAGCAAAAACAAAAGAAATTCTGCAAAACAGTGAAGGAAAGTAATAAAAAATCCATTCCGGTCAAAGATGTTCAAATCAAAATTATTCTGAATCTTTATTTTATGTTAATTTTTTTTTTCAAGGTTGCTAAATTAATCTAGTTTGCTTTAAAACGATTCATCGTAAAATAACAAATTTCACAAACTGCAGGTCTGTCGAATAGGAGTTGAGCAATTCCCCAAGATGAATGGGAGTCTGAATTTGTTAGAATTGCAGATTTTCAAAGATTTCAAAATAAATCGAAACTTCCTTATAAATTCTAAAAGCATTATTTTACTGAGCGTTCGTGACTGTCTATTAAAGAAAGTTTGCATTTACCAAAGGTTTCATTATCAAAAGTAAATTTCAGAATTTTCCAGAGTCGATTGTGATTTTCTCTGATTCCACAGCTTTATCATAAAAAGGTTCAATAAAAATATCTGAAGACGATGCCTTTTCATTATTTTAGAAACTTTAAATTTTTGAATGTTTAGAAGTTACAGATACGAAGCCGTTATTTAGAAAGTATCAAACGTTTTTGTAATTTACTGAAATTTCTTGATCATGGAATATATATTTAAATAAACCAAATCGCCAACATTTCAAGAACATTTACATTCACCCAGATACAAATTGGGTTAAAACAATAAATTCAAACATTTCTTGAACACATTTAAGAAATAAAAAATAGTTTGTCTGGTGGAAATCTAACAATGTATGCATTTTTATTGGAATTCCTACCCAAGAAAAGCCCGGCAGACACATAATTTGAATAAGTGAGCAATTAATCGCATCGTTTAAATATACATACTTCCGGGGTCAAAACCCCCTATTTTAAAATTTTTTGAAAACTGAAAAAGTCGCATAAATAAAACCGAAAACAATATAGGTTTTGTTAAGGCCCGCGTCAGTCTCAAAAAGCTTTTCTAGGCATTGAAAAACCGCAAAATTTCTTTCTGTTTGCTCGGCGTTTACAAACATATCGTCACTAAAAATCGGAACACGGTTATTTGGGATTTGCCTTTTTATCCATTACTTTAAAATTGCAGTCAAAATGGTTTGTGTTAAACTAGGTTGAGAACGCGCCTTTTTCCCGGTTTGTAATGATATATAAGCTAATTAATCTGGAGTATATTTGATCAATTTTTATTGTATGGAAATGAATTTCACTCTGTGACATTTTACATCAGATGAACGGATTTTTTGAAAGGATTTATCTTTAGAAATGTTCGTAGTGGCAGCATTGCGATTGAGCGGAGTCAGTGTTACAAGCACATCTCTAATTTGTCAAATTCGCAAAATAGAAAAAAATACGAATCAAAAAAATATTCAATCGGGCAGTTTACCAAAATTATTATGCGCTGAACGGACGGATGTTTTAATGAGCGCGTAATCGCGATGACTGTTACAGACGATAAGGGAAATTCCCGATTTTGAAACCCCCTCTTTTGAAAATCCTGGCTGCGCGCCTTAGTCGGGCGTAAATTAAGCTGTATGTGTGGCTAACGAATATTCGGGAATACAAGAGCATATGCTTGTTCAACTGTGGAAATAGTAATTAAGCTACTAGGGTGAATAACAATTACTCTCAAACTCAAGTAATTCTACAGTTTTTGTTTATCAATCAATCAATAAAGTTATAATTCACTTTCACAGATGGCTCCGTGATATGTAGAGGAAGGATAATCATTAAAAATCCCTTGATATATGTTTTCCGGGTCTCGATTGACATGAACAACAACAGATGTGGACGATGGATCGGGATTCGGATAACCAAGATACCAAACCTCAGTTGGCAGAGACATAGCTTGACCTGTCGTTGAATACAGCTGACCGTTCTGTGAAATAAAAGTATGTTGTGAGAAATATAACAAATGACAGTTTGAGAATATACTGGTTGAACCAGTAATCCTTGTCATATGATCTGACAAAGCAAAACAAACTCATTTGATCTCCAGTAAGAAACTAAATGAAGCGTGACACCATCACATGATTATTCTGCTTAGTCACACTTCAGTGATTACCGTTGGTGGATGAGAATTGAATGAAATAGACACATAAATCAAATTAGTTTGGATTAGTCTTCTCTGATTTAGTATCAGAGCTGTAAAGTTGAAGCATTGGTGTTGGAGTCAAATTGTTGAATTACCCGGAAACATTACATAAAGAGGAAAGTTTGTGGTTGAATTTAAAATAAAAACTGGAAAAGGCTGGCAAACAAACTTTTTAAATTTGTATGAAAGTCAAATTTGATATCAGCTTGGATTAGTCAGTGTTATAAATGGCCCGATTTGAACTTCTCTCCTATGCTAAAGCTACATGAATTTACCCTTAAGATAATATGTAATAGTAGTACATGGTAATGCAGAAGCAATATCGGCCACATATTTTATAATGATTTCATGTATGGCCGCATAAGCAATATGATTCAGACTCGACCTACCGTGTAATTCATTCCCGTACGAACATAAATGAATGGCCTTCCATCAGGAATCATTGGTCGTAAATAATCTTGAAGCAGGTTGTAGTGTGTGACGTCATAAATGTTAGCCAGTTTGTTTTCGCAAATAGATTCAGCGACGCTTAATGTGACATTCCAAGCGTCATAAACGATCGCTCGAAAACATCTGGAATTATAGACAACGCCACATTCTGAAACAAAAATGACATTCAAAATAGTTTGAAGTCAGATATTTAAGAAACAATTGGTAGAATATTTATTTGTACGTGTTACTTAATAACCTTCATACTTTTTATTTACAACAGTTTTCTACAATAATATGATTGTGAGCCTTCAGTAGTTTATCTTATTTGCTTCAAGAAAGGTCATGCGAACTCACTCAGAAATAAAGTACACGTTTCTCTGAGCTAAAGAATTGTAACAGTGAGATATGCGCTGGATGATACAGACCGGTCGGACTTGAGGTTAAATATTATCAGGAAAAGCTATAACGTATTGACTCCGGTTTTAAAAAAACTTTTTGTCTCAACGACGCGAGTTCATAGAGAACCGACACCGACACTATCGCCAGTGGATGCCGCGATTAATCACCAGTATCAGTGGTTCCTTGTACAGTAGGGATGCGACAAGATTCATACTCGTGCCCAGATCTCTCGTGATTTGATACTCGAATTCGGCCAGGGCCTTTCATCTTGAAATGGGAATGATGGGAAATTCATCTTTTTCGTTCTGTTTTGCCACGGGAGTGCTCTCTTTTATCCAACGTTTACGATGAAATTAAAACAGTGTGTCAAATATGCAATTCACAACGACGTAAGGTGTTTAAAAAATATTTCTAAAATCTACTAATCGACCATTAATCCGTAATCAGTGTGCCCACATTTAGAAATAAAACAATAAAAATCGTGAATATTAATTTTAGAGGGAAGTGCAACTCGCAGATGTCAGTGGCGGTATAATAGTTTATGATTTTATGTACAAATACACGCTGGCATGCAGCAATAGAATGCATAAAATGTGAAATTATTACTTAATGTTAATCAAGTCGATTTTTATTGTCATTCAATGAGTATTTAAATGGGCCATGCTTAGTTTCCAATCGAATTATTCCAATATTTTAAACAAATACCGGATTGTGAAATATCGTCAAAACTATTTTCGAAATTTACTAGAAGACTGAAAACTCGGTAACAAAACTGCGTTTTTACTTTCAAAATTTTGTCATAATTGATTATTTTTTGTCACCGCGGCATTCCAGATAATGCTGGTAATTTATATCGAAGCACTTTTTATTCACAAGTAAATATTGATTCTCACGCAACGGCGGACATCGTAGTTTAATTTTCATATTTCAGACAGAATTGTGAGTTCACATCGGTGAAGATGAGCTATCAATGAGTGAATTCACAACACAAATTAACTTTATTTTCATCTCCTTTGTAGGATTTGATCCTCCATATCACAATTTGTAAATTACGTTCTCAATTTTGGGCGAACAATCTTTGGGCGAATTACTGTCCCTGGGATGCTATATTTTTGAAGCTGATAGTTGGTTTTTCATGTTTTTTTTATTTTATATCGTGTCCGTGTTCAGGGATTCCCTGAGTAATCACCAATGAACTGGAAAGAGTCTGGCATTTGAATCTGCGAGCTGGCAGCAAGAATACGGTTGCGATAGGGATGGATCTATATCATAAAGACAGCAGATTTGGAATAGGGATGGGACAGCAGATTGTAAATAGGGAATGATTTTTATCGCTATGGGAAAACAACTTACTTGTGCACACTGGTGTTATGGACCATGAGCCGTCAGCTTTGCATGTTCCCGTCTGCCCCCCTTCCAAAGTGTAATTACTGTTGCAAGAGTAACTGACCTCCTGATCCTGACTGTACAGGTCTTGCTCGGGAGAAATTGTTCCGTTCTCAAGATTTTGCTTCACGCACGGTGTATCTGCAAGAAAATCAAATGATAAAAAAAGTTTAACTTGACTTTCAGATTATTTGTTTGTGATTATTTTAAATTTATGAAAGTTTTCTTCACTTCAAGGCTTCGAGGAAGCGACCACTGACACACTCCAAGCAAAGGTTTGTGGCATTGTACAGCAGCATTGTCCACCCCAATTTATCAACCTGACTGAAATAAGGTTTGAACCCTAGAATATCGGAGAGAACATTCAATGCTCCAACAACTTTGGCATTGACTAAATAAATCTTGATGTACCTACCTAGACCATAACATTCGGAAGAGTTCAAAGTTGTTATGTTGTCTAACTCTACATTCCCGGATGCCTCAAGCTCAAGTTGGACCTGAAATAAAAAAGATTCAAATTTGAGCACCGCTGCGAGGTAAAGTCTAGAGTGCTTCCAGTGTGACTTAGACTGCAATGTTTCCCAAACTTTTTGAGCCGCGGACCCATTTGTGAATCTTAATATTGACAGACCCCCATCCTATGCCTTATCGATTTCTGTGCCTAGCCAACTGCTGCCTCACACATGTATGGCGTATAAAATGAAAATGGCGTTTTTCGACAGCAATGAATATTCGTCCTCAACACTCAATGGCTTTTTGATTGAAATCAATCATGAAAAATCGATTGGACTCATTTCATATCGTTGCGGACCCCCTGCGCAATCATCATGGACCACCAGGGGTCCGCGGACCTTAGTTTGGGAATCCCTGACTTAAAGTGAGGTGAATAGATTCAGGAATTGTTGTTGATTTGGAGTCAGTCCTTGAATGGATCAGAATTGCAAGTGGATTCTCCTAGAGTCAAAAAAATCTACATTCGAGGTTTATACATGCGAAGAGGAAAGTTGATGGAACGTCTAATATGTTTTCCCGGTTTGTAAAGGGATTCTAGAGAAACTCCAATTATGCGAAGAAATGATTATAACCCTCCGCACGCTGATCAAACAAGACTACACCCTACCAATCTCAACCAAACGCCCATGTGCGATGGGATTCCTGTAGTATGTGTACCAGGTTGGGGTTAGACCATAATTTTATTCCGGTATTTCTTTTTTTAGTCCAATTACGAGTTCAGGGACTCCCTGTGTTAGCTAAGTGAATATATCCCTTGCCCATAAATTTTAATCCCTTTATACAACTTGATGCAAAGTAGGCGAACAAAATTAGTTACCTCCATATTGGTACACACACGTCTGGAATGCCAAAACTTTTGCATAATGTGGGATGGGATTCATTTTTAAAGCAATTCTGATTTAAAAAGATTTTTGCTAACAAATGTGTTGCAAACCTCTGTATCTGTAGAGTTCACTTTCTTTAAAATGAATTTCTCGGTTTTCCAGGTAGTCGAGGCAGAAAACGGCCAGATTGCTTTCCTAAAAATTACGAAACATATCATTGCTGTCTTCACATAGACTTACAAAATAAATCACAATCAGCTATATTTTTCGTTTTCCTGTAACCTCATTTATATGCAATCCATTATTCAGCTTTTGTCTTGAGCGGATCAACTTTAAAGTACCTAAAGCCTCCCACTAATCAGTATTTTCTAATGTGTAATGCACAGATATAGTTTCGGCAGCTCTTCACATTACAGTGGTTGTCAGTAATACCGTTCACAAATGATTCTCAGAGCAGAGAAAATATTTTTTAATAATCTAAAACAGGCGTGTGCCCCCTTTAATACTAAGGGCCAAATACAAATAACTGGGTGAAGCCACGGGCCGCATCTTTATTTAACATTGGCTTTGCGTGACAACATGACATGCGTTGTTCATAGCATAGATAATATATTGGACCGAGGTATAGGTTTTGCAAAGGGATTGGAATCACTCCCACGTATCAGATTAAACTAAATTAAACATTTTGTTTTGCATGTCGCACATTAGTAAAATCTGGCACTATTTTGCAGGTCGCACAATATTTTTTGTGGGCCGCATTTTGCATGCTGGCGACAGGTTGCACATCCCTGAAACACTGAATTTCAAATTCCGTTATTGGTTTTTAAAAATAATAATTCTTTACTGCACAGTGACTGCCAATACAAACATGCTCTAGAGCAGGGGTTCCCAAGCTTTTTCAAGATGACCCCAAAGACAACTTTCAAGTGTCCAGTGCGACCCCAAGTCAATATATATATTTTTCATAAAACTTTAGAGCTTTTCTCACTGGACTTTTGAGTTTGGTCATGTGATATTATTAAGTAAAATAAGCTAAAACCAAACAGTGATGTCACAATAAGCACCTACATTTTCCGTAGCATAATCATAGAGCGATGCCTATAGGCCTGTGTCACAGTAAGCCATGGTACAAACTGCTAAATTTAACATGTTTTGTCAAATCTTAGATGTTTTGTACATCTATCCTCTACCATACATCAGCGACCCCACCGACCCCATGACCTGTTCGCGACTCTACCTACTTATCACTCCAACTCAATTTGGGGTCGCGACCCTGCTTTGGGAACTCCTGCTCAAAAGTGAAAGCAGCAAATAGTCTGATAAAAAAATAAAGGCAGTGTTAGTTACTCACGTTACAGTTCCATTGTTAGCCTTAGCCACCAGTTCTCCATCAGATGTATCTTTTATGTCGACACTCATGCATAGTTCCTCATTGCCAGCCAAAGCCTTAGGTAAAGATCTGATTGTACCATTACCAGCAAGAACATAACCTAGGATGAATTAGAATAAAAAAAATTATAGAGTGTATCTGGTGGGAGAGATGGAGACACAGCATCTTTCAATTCTTGTGTGAGAGAATCTGAAATCAGACCTCGCAATAACATGGCGTAGTTTGGCGCATCATGCTAAGTGGTAGGAATGTGCGTTCTATCGAGAGGCCGTGGTTCACCATATTAAGTAAGTAATATTAATTAAGTCATCTTATTCTAGAATATTGATTTATTCTGAATATCATATCTCTAGTCAGAAGTTACAAGCACTCACTCAGAAGTAAGAGAGACTCAAGTTGAAAAGTTATCAGCTCTCACTTAAAAGTAAATAAAGCTCATCTCTGACCATAGTTATAAAATCTAACTCAGAAGTAAAGCAGACTCAACTACGAGCAAAGTCACAAGCACTCACTCAGAAGAAGAATATACTCATTTGTAAGCAAAGTTATGAGAACTCACTCACAAGTAAAAGATATTTATCTCTAACTAGCACTCACTTAAAATTGAAGGATATTTATCTCTCACGAGCACTCACTCGAAAGTAAAGAATATTTATCTCTGAACAAAGTCACGAGCACTCACTCGAAAGTAAAGGATATTCATCTCTGAGCAAAGTCACGAGCACTCACTCGAAAGTAAAGAATATTTATCTCTAACTAGCACTCACTTAAAATTAAAGGATATTTATCTTTCACGAGCACTCACTCGAAAGTAAAGGATATTCATCTCTGAGCAAAGTCACGAGCACTCACTCGAAAGTAAAGAATATTTATCTCTGAGCAAAGTTACGAGCACTCACTCGAAAGTAAAGAATATTTATCTCTAACTAGCACTCACTTAAAATTGAACGATATTTATCTCTCACGAGCACTCACTCGAAAGTGAAGGATATTTATCTCTGAGCAAAGTCACGAGCACTCACTCGAAAGTAAAGGATATTCATCTCTGAGCAAAGTCACGAGCACTCACTCGAAAGTAAAGGATATTCATCTCTGAGCAAAGTCACGAGCACTCACTCGAAAGTAAAGGATATTCATCTCTGAACAAAGTCACGAGCACTCACTCGAAAGTAAAGGATATTTATCTCTGAACAAAGTCACGAGCACTCACTCGAAAGTAAAGAATATTTATCTCTGAACAAAGTCACGAGCACTCACTCGAAAGTAAAGAATATTTATCTCTGAACAAAGTCACGAGCACTCACTCGAAAGTAAAGAATATTTATCTCTGAGCAAAGTCACGAGCACTCACTCGAAAGTAAAGGATATTTATCTCTGAGCAAAGTCACGAGCACTCACTCGAAAGTAAAGGATATTAATCTCTGAGCAAAGTCACGAGCACTCACTCGAAAGTAAAAGATATTTATCTCTGAGCAAAGTCACGAGCACTCACTCGAAAGTAAAAGATATTTATCTCTAACTAGCACTCACTCGAAAGTAAAGGATATTCATCTCTGAGCAAAGTCACGAGCACTCACTCGAAAGTAAAGAATATTTATCTCTGAACAAAGTCACGAGCACTCATTCGAAAGTAAAGAATATTCATCTCTGAGCAACGTTACGAGAACTCACTCAGAGGTAAAGTGGACTCATCTGTAAGCGTTTCATATAGAAACAATACCTGTAACGTCATCATCTCTGTATTCTCTCTGAAATGTTCCATTAACTCTCGTGTAGCTGCATGTAGGGTTGGTTGAAGATTCAAAATCACAAGTAAGATCGTCTGAAAAACACAAAACAACTTTTTTAGAGCCAGAGCCTCGTATACTGGCCTAAACTGAATATTGTTTTATGTAAATGTAAAGTCGTATGAAATTCACAATCGACATCGGGTTGAAACAATTTTAATACCGACTCAGATTTGAAGTCCAAAGATAATCAAATGTCGGAATGTCAGACTTTTAATGGTGACAAGTCAAAATTATCTATAAAAATTCCAAAAGCAAGTTTGCTAAACAGTCTATTTAGGGAGGCTTGCATGGATTGGACTTAATAGCAAACTACTTTTAAATAAGAGTCAGATTAGGATTAGACGCTCCCGAAGTATGCGAACCAAGATGGTGGACACCGGAGCGTAGTATGTGGATCAGGTTAGGGTTAGGCCATAATTTTATGTACAAATACTACGGGATGTTGGATTTAGAAATAATTATTAGTTATTTGTTTCAGATACACAGACTAGATGGTGAGGAAGCCGTAAACGACCAGCGGTTACATGATAGCTAGCGAGGGAAAACACCTTGGAGTGATTGGAAGTGCGATTACAAAGAAACTCAAACTTAGCACGAAGCACCAAGCACCGAACGCTTTGAATCTCGAAGAATTATCCACTCTTAAACAGCGCGATTATGTGATAGCGAGGGGTCCAGCAATACTCTCACACATAATTATCCTTTAATGGAACCACCGAATACCTCGGAGTTTGGAGAATTATCCACGATTAAACAGCGCTATGCCAACACTTACCTATGCAAGTGGGCACCTCACCCCAGGTTCCATTTTCTCCGCATTTTCCAATGTTTGATCCTTGAAGAACGTATCCAGCATTGCATGAATATTCGATAGTCTGATTGACCTCTAAGGCAGTTGCGGTGTCTACAGTCCCGTTGTCTGGAGCTCTAGGGGCTGGGCAGGTACGTACTGTAATAGAATATTAAATAAGTATTGGAGAAAGTTGTGAAAAATTTTTATGACTACATACAGAAATTAAAATTGTTTTTAAACTTAAATAAAAGATCTAAACAATGTCAGCAACCATTCAATTTGCAAAAAAAACGTCACCCACCCTCTCTTCTATAGTTTCGTACTTGAGGTACTAAACTACATGAAACCCTAATTTTTCACAGTGTGGTGACCAAACTTCACAACAGACATGGTTTTTGGAGCGAGGGTAAAAAATATTTCCCACCTGGTCTGGCGGGCCATAAAAGTGTGACGTAAAAAGTTACATTTTATGAAAAATATTTACAGTGTTACAAAAGCAAAAGTGGAAACAATAGGCCTTGTGTCAAAACTAAATTAAATAGCAATATCAACAAATTCCTTGAGCTATTTTTAACTGAAACAGTAAAATTTGGTTTTATTTTGGGGGACCAGATGAAATTACCCATCAGGCCTGATTTGTCCCGCAAGCCGCAGGTTGCCCATGTCAGATTATTAAGATACTGGATGGGGAAAACTACAACTCGTCACAGCCTTTCGTGTGGTCAATCAGGTCTTGGAGAAATTTGTGGAAACTACATACAGAAATTAGATTTGTTTTTTAAACTTAAGATGAAACACTCCCAAAATTAATGTCAGAGTAAAAAAATAATGTTTGGGGTCAAAGGTCAAACGTCCATTTTTGCCCTTGATTCAAGTATTTTTTTAGCCAGCAATTTTACGCGAATGTACTAAACAGTACCGGTATTTATAGTCGCACAAACACTCTTAAAATTAATAGCAAAGTATAAAAATATTGTTGGGGGTCAAAGATCAAACGTCCATTTTTGCTCTGATTCAACAATTTTTTATCCAATAATTCTACGAGGATGTATTGAACAGCATAGCATCTGAGGTCAAAGTCAGTTGCACGCGGGCGCAGTCGTTTTGCGTGCCGTTAGCTATAATTGCACACCGGGTATTCTGATTTGCATGTGAGAATTTCTGATTGCACGCCCGATTTCTCGTTCAAAAAGGCCTTGAAATCCAGACTGGTGCCATTACCCGTTCATGTTGGGTTTAGAGATAATTACTAGTTAATTGTTTCAGATACACAGACTAGATGGTGAGAAAGCCGTAAACGACCAGCGGTTACGCGATAGCGAGGGGTCCAGCAATACTCTCGCACATAATTAATCCTTAATGAAACCACCGAACCCCTCGGAGTTTGGAAAATTATCCACGATTAAACAGCGCTATGTGAACACTTACCTACGCAAGTGGGCACCTCACCCCAGGTTCCATTTTCTCCGCATTTTCCAATGTTTGATCCTTGAAGAACGTATCCAGCATTGCATGAATATTCGATAGTCTGATTGACCTCTAAGGCAGTTGCGGTGTCTACAGTCCCGTTGTCTGGAGCTTTAGGTGCTGGGCAGGTACGTACTGTAAAAGAATATTGAAACAAGTATTGGAAAAAGTTGTGAAATTTTTTTATGACTACATACAGAAAATTAAATTTGTTTTCAAACTTAAATAAATAATCTAAACAATGTCAGCAACCATTCAATTTGCAAAAAAAAACGTCATCCACCCCCTCTTCTATAGTTTCGTACTTGAGGTACTAAACCAACGAAAACCTAATTTTTTACAGGGGGGAGGGGATTCTCACCTCAAGTATTGTAGTGGCGTAGCAAAACAATTTTCACATAGGTCAATGTGGTGACCAGACTTCACAACAGACATGGTTTTTGAAGCAAGGGCCAAAAATTTTGCCCAACTGGTCTGGCGGGCCATAAAAGTGTGACGTAAAAAGTTACATTTTATGAATAATATTTACAGTGTTACAAAAGCAAAAGTGGAAACAATAGGCCTTGTGTCAAAACTAAATTAAATAGCAATCTCAACAAATTCCTTGAGCTATTTTTAACTGAAACAGTAAAATTTGGTTTTATTTTAGGGGACCAGATGAAATTACCCATCAGGTCTGATTTGGCCCGCAAGCCGTAGGTTGCCCATGTCAGATTAAGATACTGGATGGGGAAAACTACAACTCGTCACAGCCTTTCGTTCGGTCAATCAGGTCTTGGAGAAATTTGTGAAAACTACATACAGAAATTAGATTTGTTTTTTAAACTTAAGATGAAACACTCCCAAAATTAATGTCAGAGTAAAAAAATAATGTTTGGGGTCAAAGGTCAAATGTCCATTTTTGCCCTTGATTCGAAGTATTTTTTTTTAACCATCAATTTTACCAAATGTACTAAACAGTACCGGTATTTATAGTCGCACAAACACTCTTAAAATTAATAGCAAAGTATAAAAATATTGTTGGGGGTCAAAGATCAAACGTCCATTTTTGCTCTGATTCAACAATTTTTTATCCAATAATTCTACGAGGATGTATTAAACAGCATAGCATCTAAAGTCAAAGTCATTGCACGCGGGCGCAGTTGTTTTGCACGCCGTTAGCTATAATTGCACACCGGGAATTCTGATTTGCACGCAGGAATTTCGAAAAAGGCCATGAAATCCAGACTGGTGACTTTACCCGTTCATGTTGGGTTTAGAGATAATTACTAGTTAATTGTTTCAGATACACAGACTAGATCGTGAGAAAGCCGTAAACGACCAGCGGTTATGTGATAGCGAGGGGTCCATCAATACTCTCACACATAATTAATCCTTAATGAAACCACCGAACACCTCGAAGTTTGGAAAATTATCCACGATTAAACAGCGCTATGTGAACACCTACCTACGCAAGTGGGCACCTCACCCCAGGTTCCATTTTCTCCGCATTTTCCAATGTTTGATCCTTGAAGAACATATCCAGCATTACATGAATATTCGATAGTCTGATTGACCTCTAAGGCAGTTGCGGTGTCTACAGTCCCGTTGTCTGGAGCTTTAGGGGCTGGGCAGGTACGTACTGTAATAGAATATTGAAATAAGTATTAGAGAAAGTTGTGAAAATTTTTTATGACTACATACAGAAATTAAATTTGTTTTCAAACTTAAATAAAAGATCTAAACAATGTCAGCAACCATTTAATTTACAAAAAAAAAACGTCACCCACCCCCTCTTCTATAGTTTCGTACTTGAGGTACTAAACTACACGAAACCCTAATTTTTTACACGGGGGAGTGGGTTCGTACTTCAAGTATTCTAGTGGCGTAGCAAAACAATTTTTACATAGGTCAATAAGGTGACCAGACTTCACAACAGACATGATTTTTGAAGCAAGGGTCAAAAATTTTTCCCAACAGGTCTGGCGGGTATTTGAATTTGGCCTGATCGAAAAATGCGAAGCAAAAAAGACCATATTTCCTAATTGCTTGGCGGTAAGACGCATCGTGTTGAATGATAGGGATCCCGTGAGAATAGTTATGTGCGAAAAGATCGAAAAATGTTCACTGTAACTCCCCCCGTTGGAAAAATCCTGGCTGCTGCCCCTGTATCACGTCATGCTTGTCTCAATAATAATCTAAACTAATCGTGGTCGTCACATAACCAAAATTGCAGTTTTTTGCTAAAAGGTCTCGAATGCCATGGTAAAATTAATAAATCGAAAAATTCGGTAAGCTGGTAAATCGGATATTTTTTCCCTAGTAATTCAATGATGACGTTACTAGATTGCGTTTTTTTGTAGTATTTTGCGCAACTTCATTATACTGTATTATTACCGATATTGAAGGACAACAGTGTCCAGACGTCTCCCAAAGGAGGGGTGTCTGATCATCTGTAAAATTGGTTTTTCTGAAACGGGGCATTGTCATTCGATTTGTATAGTGTGCCGTACTGTAATAGAACTATAATGTGAAAAATCTGAACAAAATTTTGTCCTAACCCTAACTTGGTACACATACCTACTACAGGAGTACGGTATCCTTTTCTGTTGCTTGGTATTTTGCTTTATTTTTTATATAGGCCTAATGCAGTAATAGCTTATCGTAGGAAAAAAATTTCGTGGCATCCCGCAATTTTTTTTTTGGTTTGAATATTGACAATTTTGTAAAAATTGAAAATTTTGGTAGGATAATTAAATTTTTCCTGATGGGGCCGCGGCCCATAACTTGATGGGCCACGGCCTATGTGGCCAAATTAGATGAACTGTGGCCCCGGCCCATGAGCCGTATAAGAGTCACTACTCCTGTAATTATCGTAAGCACGTTTTGGACGACCGTCCACATTAAATCACTGTGATTTTTGGATGGCGTAGTCAGATTATCAGTAGTCATATGGGGGTTAGGACAGACATATGCAAAAATGGTTATACCATGGCCACTAAAAGTACTAAACTAAGGTTCAAGCTGGAGTCGTAGGCGCCATTACGGTTGACCGTCGCTATACTTTGGCAAGCTGTATTTCGTTATTGTGACGTAGCAGTGACGTACCTAATTTTTGGGTGACGTCATCAGGTGGGGGTCAGGAATCATATATCCAAAAATTGTTACGCCACGCACACTAGAAGTTATTCAGGTGCGAAAGTACATGAGACCCCAAAAATGAACAAAAAAACGTGAGTACCGTAACAGCGATTTCTGGGTCTAGTACCGTACAGTTCAGTTTATTTCCTCAAGATGGCGTACATAGTGTGAACGCCTCCGCCATCCAAATTTAAACCAACTAAACGTCATCCAAAAAAGACCCGCCAAAATATACGAACGTTTTCGCAAGATTTTTTTTTTTTTTGGATGACGTAGTCAGATAATGGTCAGGAATGACGAATGCCAAAATTTTATGCTACGCCCGAAATACTCGTTGTACTAAACTACACTACATTCCGGTTTCTCGAATCGCAGAGCGAACAACAGCACCAAAGGTCAGAAGGTCATAAAGCGAGGCAACGCTCAGACTATGTACGCCATCTTGTGGGAATAAATAAAATCATTTTTCAAGAATAATCTTTTAGGCGAATGTTAATAACTTATATTCAAGTAAATACCTGGGGCAGAAATATTTTTCGAGTAAAAAACGAGAAAGAGAGAGCTCCACCAACCTGTACTCTGTTCGACTTTTGTAGTTTGTGGGCGAAAAGTAGAGAAAAAGGCTTCCTTAGTTGACCACGGGGATGTAGCAGGGGCGGTTGAAGTTTTCTTGTTATTGTATCCTGTGTAAAAAGTGAGTTTAAATTACAATTTAATAACAAGATTTATAGTTTTAGGTACTTTTAGGAAAGAATGAGATACTGAATGGCAGTGCAAAATTTTTTATTTTCAGCGTTTTCGCATAATCGCCGTATTACCTATTATTATGACTGAAGAGGACTTTTTCGTTATCTATTTTAGTGCATGCGGTTGTAAAAGACATATTTTCATACCGAGGGGATAGGTCGTTTCTTTGACATCGTCAACAGACGGCGGCACTGAGTTTGTCTTTAATTCTTCTATCGTCTTTTTCAATCGATAGAACTTATTTTTCGTTTCTCCTAATTGTTCCGTTAAAGCTGCGAAACATAAATATAAACACATATTAAATTGAGCCATCAGTTTCAAAATCCGTTAGAAGTGAAGTTTTTGTTAGAAGATATAAACCAAACCATTCTCTCTCTGGTTAAAAATAAGGGTGCCTCCGAAGTATGTGAACCAAGATGTCGCACAAACTGAACATAGTATGTATACCAGGTTAGGGTTTAGGGTTTGTGTACATTCTTCGGGAGCGCAAAATAGGAATATGAGATGGGTATTGCTAAGCTATACGTCATGATTTGATTGTTTAGAATGGCGCATTAAAAATATAAAATTATTTAAATTTCACTAATAGAGCGATTGTTTGGAGGCGTGTAGGCTATCAGACTGTTCGAAAAATATGAAAACATAGCAAACGTATTTTGAAGGAAATTATATTGTGGACACGAACCTTCCAAAGCCTTTTCTTCTTCTTTTGTGCACTGTCCTTTCTGAAATATAACAAGAGAGAAATGTTTAAATATATTGACATGAAGGCTGCACATCCTTGCAGTAAGGTCTCAGCTGAGCAAGTGTTCCCCGTGAAAAAGTGTTGCCATGGATTAAAGTAAAAACACAAAATCTGGGATGAGATATCGATTTAGCCGCAAACCTTCAGTACTTATAGTTGGAAAACATCGCCAAAACGTTATATTTTTTTTTCAGATTTCAAACAAAACAGTTCAATTCCTACAAATAATACCACCAATATGAAACTACTTCTGAAGCTCTCACCGTAACGTCTCTCCAAGTAGGTTGATCGTCGCAAATCATTGGCATCCAGCATTGCTCTCCTGTTGAGTGAAAATTGAAATTGGGTACCCAGAAGTATGCGCAACAAGATGGCGCACAACCTAAACATAGTATGTGTGTGTACCGGTTAGGATTCAGGTTGTGCGACATCTTGATGCGCATACTTCTGGAGCACCTGAAATTAAATATCGAGCGCAATGACCGTTTCAAAATAGGCTTAAAACAGATAAACAAAAGTTATGTTACTGAACATTTTTTTTTATAACGAGCTAATTCAGTATCTATCTATTACCTCATGCGCGCATTCGCTCATTTCATATTAAATTTCATACTGCTATGCACGTCATGCGAACGCACGATTAGCTTACTTAGCCTTGCAAATCCGGCCCTGTTTACGGTACAGAAACACATTCAATATGTGACAAAATAAACGAAGAATTCGAGGGGAAAAGCTGTCAGATAAAAAATTATTATTTCCATATTTAAATGTCGGTTTATCCTTCATCGAGAGAACGAGGTTCGTCATATTATTTCACCGTCATACCGGCTGCCCCTACGCCGCAATAAATGAATATTTCTTCCGGTACAAATATGACAGCCGTGAAGCGAGAAAACAGGTTTGAAATTCGCTAAAAGACGTGTTTCAATTAACTTACGCCGTGTCGCCTGTATTAGTACAATTATAAGATGTTAAAATTTGTTGAACTCTACAAATAAAGTGTTTTTTCCTCAAACCTATACTTAGAAGAGTATAAAGCATTCATGCCGTTTAAATATCAATGACCTGATTTTTGGAGTCTTCATATAATTTTCAAATAACTCAAACCAATAATTTTCATATTTGGAAAACGCTGGGGAGGTTTCAATGATTTAATTTATTTTTTTCTTTGGTGAAATCAGCAATTAATAATATCCGATTAAAAAAAAACAGCGCTAACACTATCGAATTTCGGCACGAAAATTTTATTCAAGCACAATTATTCAATGTGCAGCTTCATGTAGCGAAGCTCAATTATTCTGCCTAATTTTCTGAGGCGAAAGTTTTACGTAATGTAAGAATTACCCCACTACCTGAGTATCAAATATCCAAAAAAATACCGGTATCTGTGACAGATTCAAATCGTTCTAAAACGTCTGCTAAACAGGTTGGAACTTGATTTAGTTAAGTAATCCAGAAGTGGAAACAATAGGCCTTGTGTCAAAACTAAATTAAATAGCAATATCAACAAATTCCTTGAGCTATTTTTAACTGAAACAGTAAAATTTGGTTTTATTTTGGGGGACCAGATGAAATTACCCATCAGGCCTGATTTGTCCCGCAAGCCGCAGGTTGCCCATGTCAGATTATTAAGATACTGGATGGGGAAAACTACAACTCGTCACAGCCTTTCGTGTGGTCAATCAGGTCTTGGAGAAATTTGTGGAAACTACATACAGAAATTAGATTTGTTTTTTAAACTTAAGATGAAACACTCCCAAAATTAATGTCAGAGTAAAAAAATAATGTTTGGGGTCAAAGGTCAAACGTCCATTTTTGCCCTTGATTCAAAGTATTTTTTTTAGCCAGCAATTTTACGCGAATGTACTAAACAGTACCGGTATTTATAGTCGCACAAACACTCTTAAAATTAATAGCAAAGTATAAAAATATTGTTGGGGGTCAAAGATCAAACGTCCATTTTTGCTCTGATTCAACAATTTTTTATCCAATAATTCTACGAGGATGTATTGAACAGCATAGCATCTGAGGTCAAAGTCAGTTGCACGCGGGCGCAGTCGTTTTGCGTGCCGTTAGCTATAATTGCACACCGGGTATTCTGATTTGCATGTGAGAATTTCTGATTGCACGCCCGATTTCTCGTTCAAAAAGGCCTTGAAATCCAGACTGGTGCCATTACCCGTTCATGTTGGGTTTAGAGATAATTACTAGTTAATTGTTTCAGATACACAGACTAGATGGTGAGAAAGCCGTAAACGACCAGCGGTTACGTGATAGCGAGGGGTCCAGCAATACTCTCGCACATAATTAATCCTTAATGAAACCACCGAACCCCTCGGAGTTTGGAAAATTATCCACGATTAAACAGCGCTATGTGAACACTTACCTACGCAAGTGGGCACCTCACCCCAGGTTCCATTTTCTCCGCATTTTCCAATGTTTGATCCTTGAAGTACGTATCCAGCATTGCATGAATATTCGATAGTCTGATTGACCTCTAAGGCAGTTGCGGTGTCTACAGTCCCGTTGTCTGGAGCTTTAGGTGCTGGGCAGGTACGTACTGTAAAAGAATATTGAAACAAGTATTGGAAAAAGTTGTGAAATTTTTTTATGACTACATACAGAAAATTAAATTTGTTTTCAAACTTAAATAAATAATCTAAACAATGTCAGCAACCATTCAATTTGCAAAAAAAAACGTCATCCACCCCCTCTTCTATAGTTTCGTACTTGAGGTACTAAACCAACGAAACCCTAATTTTTTACAGGGGGGAGGGGATTCTCACCTCAAGTATTGTAGTGGCGTAGCAAAACGATTTTCACATAGGTCAATGTGGTGACCAGACTTCACAACAGACATGGTTTTTGAAGCAAGGGCCAAAAATTTTGCCCAACTGGTCTGGCGGGCCATAAAAGTGTGACGTAAAAAGTTACATTTTATGAATAATATTTACAGTGTTACAAAAGCAAAAGTGGAAACAATAGGCCTCGTGTCAAAACTAAATTAAATAGCAATCTCAACAAATTCCTTGAGCTATTTTTAACTGAAACAGTAAAATTTGGTTTTATTTTAGGGGACCAGATGAAATTACCCATCAGGTCTGATTTGGCCCGCAAGCCGTAGGTTGCCCATGTCAGATTAAGATACTGGATGGGGAAAACTACAACTCGTCACAGCCTTTCGTTCGGTCAATCAGGTCTTGGAGAAATTTGTGAAAACTACATACAGAAATTAGATTTGTTTTTTAAACTTAAGATGAAACACTCCCAAAATTAATGTCAGAGTAAAAAAATAATGTTTGGGGTCAAAGGTCAAATGTTCATTTTTGCCCTTGATTCGAAGTATTTTTTTTTTACCATCAATTTTACCAAATGTACTAAACAGTACCGGTATTTATAGTCGCACAAACACTCTTAAAATTAATAGCAAAGTATAAAAATATTGTTGGGGGTCAAAGATCAAACGTCCATTTTTGCTCTGATTCAACAATTTTTTATCCAATAATTCTACGAGGATGTATTAAACAGCATAGCATCTAAAGTCAAAGTCATTGCACGCGGGCGCAGTTGTTTTGCACGCCGTTAGCTATAATTGCACACCGGGAATTCTGATTTGCACGCAGGAATTTCGAAAAAGGCCATGAAATCCAGACTGGTGACTTTACCCGTTCATGTTGGGTTTAGAGATAATTACTAGTTAATTGTTTCAGATACACAGACTAGATCGTGAGAAAGCCGTAAACGACCAGCGGTTATGTGATAGCGAGGGGTCCATCAATACTCTCACACATAATTAATCCTTAATGAAACCACCGAACACCTCGAAGTTTGGAAAATTATCCACGATTAAACAGCGCTATGTGAACACCTACCTACGCAAGCGGGCACCTCACCCCAGGTTCCATTTTCTCCGCATTTTCCAATGTTTGATCCTTGAAGAACATATCCAGCATTACATGAATATTCGATAGTCTGATTGACCTCTAAGGCAGTTGCGGTGTTTACAGTCCCGTTGTCTGGAGCTTTAGGGGCTGGGCAGGTACGTACTGTAATAGAATATTGAAATAAGTATTAGAGAAAGTTGTGAAAATTTTTTATGACTACATACAGAAATTAAATTTGTTTTCAAACTTAAATAAAAGATCTAAACAATGTCAGCAACCATTTAATTTACAAAAAAAAAACGTCACCCACCCCCTCTTCTATAGTTTCGTACTTGAGGTACTAAACTACACGAAACCCTAATTTTTTACACGGGGGAGTGGGTTCGTACTTCAAGTATTCTAGTGGTGTAGCAAAACAATTTTTACATAGGTCAATAAGGTGACCAGACTTCACAACAGACATGATTTTTGAAGCAAGGGTCAAAAATTTTTCCCAACAGGTCTGGCGGGTCATAAAAGTATTTGAATTTGGCCTGATCGAAAAATGCGAAGCAAAAAAGACCATATTTCCTAATTGCTTGGCGGTAAGACGCATCGTGTTGAATGATAGGGATCCCGTGAGAATAGTTATGTGCGAAAAGATCGAAAAATGTTCACTGTAACTCCCCCTGTTGGAAAAATCCTGGCTGCTGCCCCTGTATCACGTCATGCTTGTCTCAATAATAATCTAAACTAATCGTGGTCGTCACATAACCAAAATTGCAGTTTTTTGCTAAAAGGTCTCGAATGCCATGGTAAAATTAATAAATTGGAAAATTCGGTAAGCTGGTAAATCGGATATTTTTTCCCTAGTAATTCAATGATGACGTTACTAGATTGCGTTTTTTTGTAGTATTTTGCGCAACTTCATTATACTGTATTATTACCGATATTGAAGGACAACAGTGTCCAGACAACTCCCAAAGGAGGGGTGTCTGATCATCTGTAAAATTGGTTTTTCTGAAACGGGGCATTGTCATTCGATTTGTATAGTGTGCCGTACTGTAATAGAACTATAATGTGAAAAATCTGAACAAAATTTTGTCCTAACCCTAACTTGGTACACATACCTACTACAGGAGTACGGTATCCTTTTCTGTTGCTTGGTATTTTGCTTTATTTTTTATATAGGCCTAATGCAGTAATAGCTTATCGTAGGAAAAAAATTTCGTGGCATCCCGCAATTTTTTTTTTGGTTTGAATATTGACAATTTTGTAAAAATTGAAAATTTTGGTAGGATAATTAAATTTTTCCTGATGGGGCCGCGGCCCATAACTTGATGGGCCACGGCCTATGTGGCCAAATTAGATGAACTGTGGCCCCGGCCCATGAGCCGTATAAGAGTAACTACTCCTGTAATTATCGTAAGCACGTTTTGGACGACCGTCCACATTAAATCACTGTGATTTTTGGATGGCGTAGTCAGATTATCAGTAGTCATATGGGGGTTAGGACAGACATATGCAAAAATGGGTATACCACGGCCACTAAAAGTACCGTACTAAACTAAGGTTCAAGCTGGAGTCGTAGGCGCCATTACGGTTGACCGTCGCTATACTTTGGCAAGCTGTATTTCGTTATTGTGACGTAGCAGTGACGTACCTAATTTTTGGGTGACGTCATCAGGTGGGGGTCAGGAATCATATATCCAAAAATTGTTACGCCACGCACACTAGAAGTTATTCAGGTGCGAAAGTACATGAGACCCCAAAAATGAACAAAAAAACGTGAGTACCGTAACAGCGATTTCTGGGTCTAGTCCCGTACAGTTCAGTTTATTTCCTCAAGATGGCGTACATAGTGTGAGCGCCTCCGCCATCCAAATTTAAACCAACTAATACGTCATCCAAAAAAGACCCGCCAAAATATACGAACGTTTTCGCAAGATTTTTTTTTTTTTGGATGACGTAGTCAGATAATGGTCAGGAATGACGAATGCCAAAATTTTATGCTACGCCCGAAATACTCGTTGTACTAAACTACACTACATTCCGGTTTCTCGAATCGCAGAGCGAACAACAGCACCAAAGGTCAGAAGGTCATAAAGCGAGGCAACGCTCAGACTATGTACGCCATCTTGTGGGAATAAATAAAATCATTTTTCAAGAATAATCTTTTAGGCGAATGTTAATAACTTATATTCAAGTAAATACCTGGGGCAGAAATATTTTTCGAGTAAAAAAACGAGAAAGAGAGAGCTCCACCAACCTGTACTCTGTTCGACTTTTGTAGTTTGTGGGCGAAAAGTAGAGAAAAAGGCTTCCTTAGTTGACCACGGGGATGTAGCAGGGGCGGTTGAAGTTTTCTTGTTATTGTATCCTGTGTAAAAAGTGAGTTTAAATTACAATTTAATAACAAGATTTATAGTTTTAGGTACTTTTAGGAAAGAATGAGATACTGAATGGCAGTGCAAAATTTTTTATTTTCAGCGTTTTCGCATAATCGCCGTATTACCTATTATTATGACTGAAGAGGACTTTTTCGTTATCTATTTTAGTGCATGCGGTTGTAAAAGACATATTTTCATACCGAGGGGATAGGTCGTTTCTTTGACATCGTCAACAGACGGCGGCACTGAGTTTGTCTTTAATTCTTCTATCGTCTTTTTCAATCGATAGAACTTATTTTTCGTTTCTCCTAATTGTTCCGTTAAAGCTGCGAAACATAAATATAAACACATATTAAATTGAGCCATCAGTTTCAAAATCCGTTAGAAGTGAAGTTTTTGTTAGAAGATATAAACCAAACCATTCTCTCTCTGGTTAAAAATAAGGGTGCCTCCGAAGTATGTGCACCAAGATGTCGCACAAACTGAACATAGTATGTATACCAGGTTAGGGTTTAGGGTTTGTGTACATTCTTCGGGAGCGCAAAATAGGAATATGAGATGGGTATTGCTAAGCTATACGTCATGATTTGATTGTTTAGAATGGCGCATTAAAAATATAAAATTATTTAAATTTCACTAATAGAGCGATTGTTTGGAGGCGTGTAGGCTATCAGACTGTTCGAAAAATATGAAAACATAGCAAACGTATTTTGAAGGAAATTATATTGTGGACACGAACCTTCCAAAGCCTTTTCTTCTTCTTTTGTGCACTGTCCTTTCTGAAATATAACAAGAGAGAAATGTTTAAATATATTGACATGAAGGCTGCACATCCTTGCAGTAAGGTCTCAGCTGAGCAAGTGTTCCCCGTGAAAAAGTGTTGCCATGGATTAAAGTAAAACTTAAAATCTGGGATGAGATATAGATTTAGCCGCATAGTTGGAAAACATCTGGAAAACATCGCCAAAACGTTATATTTTTTTTTCAGATTTCAAACAAAACAGTTCAATTCCTACAAATAATACCACCAATATGAAACTACTTCTGAAGCTCTCACCGTAACGTCTCTCCAAGTAGGTTGATCGTCGCAAATCATTGGCATCCAGCATTGCTCTCCTGTTGAGTGAAAATTGAAATTGGGTACCCAGAAGTATGCGCAACAAGATGGCGCACAACCTAAACATAGTATGTGTGTGTACCGGTTAGGATTCAGGTTGTGCGACATCTTGATGCGCATACTTCTGGAGGACCTGAAATTAAATATCGAGCGCAATGACCGTTTCAAAATAGGCTTAAAACAGATAAACAAAAGTTATGTTACTGAACATTTTTTTTTATAACGAGCTAATTCAGTATCTATCTATTACCTCATGCGCGCATTCGCTCATTTCATATTAAATTTCATACTGCTGCGCACGTCATGCGAACGCACGATTGGCTTACTTAGCCTTGCAAATCCGGCCCTGTTTACGGTACAGAAACACATTCAATATGTGACAAAATAAACGAAGAATTCGAGGGGAAAAGCTGTCAGATAAAAAATTATTATTTCCATATTTAAATGTCGGTTTAACCTTCATCGAGAGAACGAGGTTTGTCATATTATTTCACCGTCATACCGGCTGCCCCTACGCCGCAATAAATGAATATTTCTTCCGGTACAAATATGACAGCCGTGAAGCGAGAAAACAGGTTTGAAATTCGCTAAAAGACGTGCTTCAATTAACTTACGCCGTGTCGCCTGTATTAGTACAATTATAAGATGTTAAAATTTGTTGAATTCTACAAATAAAGTGTTTTTTCCTCAAACCTATACTTAGAAGAGTATAAAGCGTTCATGCCGTTTAAATATCAATGACCTGATTTTTGGAGTCTTCATATAATTTTCAAATAACTCAAACCAATAATTTTCATATTTGGAAAACGCTGGGGAGGTTTCAATGATTTAATTTATTTTTTTCTTTGGTGAAATCAGCAATTAATAATATCCGATTAAAAAAAAACAGCGCTAACACTATCGAATTTTGGCACGAAAATTTTATTCAAGCACAATTATTCAATGTGCAGCTTCATGTAGCGAAGCTCAATTATTCTGCCTGATTTTCTGAGGCGAAAGTTTTACGTAATGTAAAATTACCCCACTACCTGAGTATCAAATATCCGAAAAAATAAATTATCCCATGGTGCGCCACCAAAAACAAAACCCAGGCAAGCAAGCAAATACAACAAAGCATACACGGTTCTACTGACCTTTAATCAACGGAAATGCCTCGATAAACATAAGAAGAATGTATTGAACCGGAATCTTCATTTCGAATACAAGTATTTCGTCAACTTTGCTTCGATGAAAGTAAATTTTCAAACAGCGTAGGTTAGAATGAAGCTTCAATCTATTCGCATAGGAATATATCCTATGCAAGCTCACTCATCACTCTAGAATGGAAAGAGAAATTATTTTCTCTCTTTTAAATTTCAGGTTACGTGTTTCGTCACAAAGAGAGAGTTTGGGCTGCTCTTTCTATCTTTATGAAACGATGACGACGACGTCACTACCGCGACCGTGCAGTGTATCATTTGGTGGAATTCTGTGCGCGTTATGGCATATTAACGGCCACCATAAATTCTATTTTAGGAAAATACATGCCAAATATGTCTTTTCGGCTTCAAATATTGGGGGGGCCTTGGCGAAGCGGATTGAGAGGTATTGATATATTGACACCGAACCTGTTATTTTTATGCTTATTTAATTGAATTGAATTAAGTAGCAACTAACTCGATTTCGGATGTCGAATA